TCTGTGTGCATGCGTGTTTTGCAGTGTCCCCCGCAGTCCGCATACTGCGGCTCTGGATGTTGATACTGTGCCTGACAGGACTGAGACTGAGACGAGTCGCAAAGGCCGGCATGCCCAGAGGTGTGATCATTGCCCATTGACCGGCGAGGCTTTGCACGCCGTGAATCGACATAGCTCGACTTCTGATTTATCAGCCACGGCAAGCCCACACTGTCCAATGATGGCCGTTACTCCGTCTGCACACGGGAATGCTTTTTCTGAGCCTGTGCGGCTTGCCACTTGCATGTTGTCAATGCCAATCTCCTTGCTCTAGAAATTTGAACTTGATCCTGCGTCAAGACGCCGAGTTTTTCTGCATAAAAACCAGGCCGCGGCTGCTTGCATTCGCACTCCGAGGTACCCTCAAATTTACTGTGTGGTTTGAAGGTCGACCGTCGGATGACGAGCGGAATAGCAAGCATGAGCATACTCGTTCAAAGTTCTTCCAAGGATGCATCATGCCCCAAATTCGATTCGACTGGGATGAGTCGATGCAAACCAGCACCCCACACGGAAAGCGGTGGAGTTGCAGGGGACATGAGTTGCCGGGAGAGGCTGCAGAACTCTGCGGAAAGCCCAAGCCGGTTTAGGGTTTAAGTTCGGGGTGTGCTTGCAGTGTGAACGTGGTGGATGGGGTTCTATAGGATTGCTGGTGCGTTCGCTTATCGCGCACTTGCGTCAGCATGTAGTCTGCCAACCACCCAAACTCGTCTCTTGTGTTTGCTAGTAAGCGAGTATTGTATGGCTCATCCCCCAGAACCATGTGCCGGGGGGCGTTCTTGCATCGTGCTTCGCGTAGAACGCTGCGCAACATGGACACGACTCATATATAGGTTGTAATTGAGATGGGTTTTATATAAATATGTATTATATATATATATATTTTTTTTTAAATATATTTGTATGACCAGGTCCGCCGATCTCCCTCCCGGTATCTCCCCCCGTACAAACCCCATAGATAGCATAATCTCGGTCTGTTATTTAATATAGTCTATATAAAACCTGATTCGAAACTCAATTGAAAATCTAAGCTTTAATTTATTATTAATATTTAAGGTTCGGCTTATATATATTACGAAATATATGTCTAAATACTTAATTATTTATTCTAGTAGTACTTTATAGAGATAGATTTTATATAATTCTTTATAAATTTCATAGATAAAAATATGAAAAGAAATTTGATTCTCTGTAAATATTATTTATTAAGATATGAAGAAATATATGAAAATATTCTAGATTTTTCTCGGATTTAAATTATTTATTTCGAAAACTAATAAGAGAATAACTTAGGTTTTAAATTAGATATAAAGATAATACTAAAGTTTAGATAATAAATTCTAGAGAAATATATAATATTAGCATATATATTCGAAAAGGCCTCTTAGGTTCGTAAAAATTTCTAGAAATTTATAAGATATACGAATTTTCTATAAGATGAGACGTTCTCGGGCCCCTAGATTTATAACATTTTCATATATTTCATAACGAAATTCGTTTTATAAATACAAGATTGATTTTAGATGTATAAATTTTTAACACTCAATTCCAGATAAATTCGCATTGTATTGATTTCCATTATTCCATACCCATTAGATATTATTCCTTACCAACATTTGAAAATAATCGATCGAAATCGAAAATACTAATTAGACTATTATTAATTATTAAGAATGATAAAGGAAAATAGAGGTTCGTGCCTCAAGAGTTTGAAGTATCTCCATATTGAATCTAGAAGATGCGATCTTAGCATACCGCTCCCTATGATAGCTTCGAGCCATGTCTTTGCATGTGGGGCACCGTATTTCATTTAGCTATATAAGCCAGAATTATATTTCTTATTGAACTTGCACATGAATGCGAATATTATTTATATGCAAATCAATGCCACAATTTGGACTAACCATCTTTGTAGTTGCTGATGACATGACTGTTGGGGACCAGCTTGGCATCTTAACTTCCAAATTAAATGTGAGGTTGCAGGCCCATCATTTAAAATACATTATTATACATGTGTCTGTATGGCTTCTATCTTGTGATTTTTAATTTTTATCTTGTCAATTTTACGAGACGACGGTATCTTCCGACTATTGGTTTTATTAAAGATAATTATCTCAAAATCGTGTCGTTTTATTCATAAATCCGCATATCAAATCACTCCTTGAATTCAAATATGGAGGCTATTGTCAAATCCGATTATATATATCGATAAATATTTTGGAGATCTCATAGGGACTTATTCTGACGAGTCCAGCAAAACAAAGACCTGGTATCTAGGACTATTGCGGATAGTCTCTTGACCCATATATTTCGTGTGGGTTGACCTTGTCCCACTCCTATAGCATATCTTCGATGCCCTATCTCATTATTGATACTGCTATAGCATATCCTCGATACCCTATCTTTTCCATGTGTATTGGTACGGAGGCAATGCTGCACAAGCTCCCACTCTCCCACGTATACCCACTCCGACATTCCGAAATTTTGGTTTTTGAAGGTTCTTTGAGCTTGGATTCCTACTGACCGCTTTGGAAAAGTGCATACTACTACACGCTCATTATTTTTGATGATATCTCCTTCAACTTGTTTAAAATTACAGAAAAAGCGCAACTCCTTCATAAAAATATTCATATTAGATGGTCCTATAGAGTCGTAGCATATGTTTGGAAATCCAATATATCTTCAATGGAATCTTTCAGAGTCATTTGGAGCCCATAAATTTAATTTTGCTGATTCCTAGAGCTCCTAAAGCAGTTTTGGTATTTCATGAATAAAAATCTATATCTATATATATATTTGGCTTATACGGTGGGACTTTAAAATCCGAGAATAAGACCGTGGTCGGCAAGTAACCTTCCAATCTTATTATATTATTAAAAGAATTGAGTTTTCATTTACTTCATTGTATCATCATATGACTAAGAGAAAAGCAGCTGCCGCAAGTAGGAGTTTTGAGAACCGACGGTGGCTATCTCTAAACGGACCAAATATCTTATAACCCAGACGGAGTGAAAGTTCGTTATCTGCCAGCATACAGTAGAAGTCTTGCCCCCCCCCCCACATATAGCGTACATGGATATATGTATGCCTAATATACCGTAATATCAATACCCTATAAGTACTACATATATTCTCTAACCCTAATTCCATATTCGTCATTGTCTCCGAGTCTGTAGTATCAAGCACGTACACATATATCTTCAAGATAGCATCATCAGATTTGTTCCTTTTCGTATTTTCTGCCTATATATGTAAGATAAATAACTTGTGGAAGTATGTTTCTCGCCTTATATAAGCTACGTTTCTCTGCCATTGCTGTTGGAACGGACATATTGCCACTATTAGCCTAAAAAATATACGGGGATATAGCAGAGATTCCGAAAATTTAACTTTCTCGTAGTCCATTCGAGACATGAGTATGAACATCTTTAGATGAGTGGCAATCAGATTGCCGAAATTTTGAACAGATATATTTACGATAATAAAGCTTCGAAATTTTTTAAGACGTGCTCGCGATAATCTTAGTACCGCGAGCTCCAATGCCATGCATTCTAAATATAAGTGTCTCTCTATGTGTCTGGGTATTTCGGTGCGTATATCTCTCTATATATCTTTATACGTATATATCTCTAAGAAGATATATATAAATATATCTATGGTTATAATTATCTCAATACCTATCGATATATCTCTCCACACATCTTATCTCTTATTATCTCTATCTAATTTTTACTTACTTATCTTTTTGAATCTATCTCTATCGCTGCGACTCTCTATATCTCTTTATATGAATATCAGCTCTATCTCTTTCTCTCTATTTCTATTTTTTTTATCTCATTCTCTATTATCTAGCTCTACCTCTCTCTCTCGCTTTTCTCTTTCTATATTTTTCTTTTTTATCTTTATGAGATTCTATATCTTTTCATCTATCTATCTATCTTTTTTCCTCGTTATTAGTTTGTTTTCTTTCAACTTATCGATATCTATTTATTTAGATAATTATCTTTATTTCTATGAGCATATCTCTCTAATTTTCTATTTCTCTAATCATTTATATTGATTTCTTGCTATTATATCTATTTATGAACTTATCTATTTCCTATTTATCTACTTGATTCAATCATATGACAATCAGATTATGACCGACGACTAGAATCGAAGACTCCGAATTTTTTAAGAATTCGTGAAATATTGAGAGAAATGTGCAATATAACAATCATAAGAAATATCTTGAAATTAATTTCTATGTTTAGTACTCCTATTTTTTTATTGGAATATAATTAGATAATTAGATCTTATGAAATGGCGAATGTACCACGAGTGGTGAGTTGGACGAATTTTAGCGGGCATGCACCGACTGGCCCACATAGGTTTTACAGTGATTACGGGCTGACAAAGCAGCGAAACTGTGTATGCAGCGGCTGGAAACCTTTTTACACGCTTGGCATACTGTGGAGAGTCGTTTTATGCTTGATCCTTGAAGAATCCCTCAAGGCGTGTTTGGATACGGTTGACTTTCAAAGCACCACTCTGGCACCCGAAGTGCCACTTTGATCAGTTGCTGGGTGGGCCGGTACGTAAGTCCCTCTTGCAGTGCGTGCGTGGTGGTGTGATTCACGTTTCGGCCGCGCCAGATAAATATTCACCTGTCCATCATGTGATCGTTGCGCCAGTTCGAGCAGGAGGGCCTGACACACATTAAAATTTCGGTAGAAGTGCAAACTTCGCATCCATCTCAAAGCTTGCGTCTTTAACTCCTGCGACTCCTGCGACTGCTGGTCGGCACACACATTGACAAAGCACATCTATCTGTACTATGTTGTGAGCTGTGGCAAAGGTGAGCACAGGGGAAAGGCACCGAGTTCAGGTGTTCCCAGAAAGCTAGGACAGCCGACATCTTTCATCAAATGTCGGGCTGATCTTCAAATTGGAACGTCGCAAGACGTTGCAACAAAAACGGCTCAGGAGGGACGCTTGCGCTTGAGCTCGGGCCGAACCTCGAGTTGCCCTCCGCTGTGGCCCTTGCCACCTCGAGGTCGTAAAGTGTCGCACTTCCGAATCTAACGAGGCAGCACAAGTTGTAGCTAAACATCACATGCTCTCAAGAAGTCCAATGCGGCCTAGTCGCCTCCGCCCTGCCGACTTGCATTGGAGCCAAAGCCTCGAGCCTCTCAGGAAATGTGCTGCCAATCGCAGTCCAAAAGCGAAAGCATGCGCCAAATCAGCATTCGGCAAGCGAAGCAAATGCCGCCAAAGCACCGAGGAGCTTGAGAGAACAATCACATCATCCTCGTCTGTTGTTGCTCTCGGCTGCTGCGGCATGGACTTTGTGGTTGGTCTGGCTTTTGGCGGCGGTCTCGCCTAGCTAGGCAGGCATTCAAACGCGCTCCCCCGGTCCAACTGCGTCTGTTGCTCTTGTTCCGGTGGGTTGCCAAAAAGCGACTCAAGGCGGCAGAATGGTCGCACACACTCGGGTTGAGAGAATCGGAGATGGTCCTCAACCAAACCTCAGGCCTTTCAGATGAGCAAGGGTGTCAGCAGGATTGGACAAATTACAAAACTGAGTTCCCTGCTTGATCGCCCGTACCGGCAGATCCGGCAGGTCGCGGCATAGGCTTTGTTGCTGGCCTCGCCTTTGTTTGCGGCTTCGCCTCGGAGCCGTCTAAGCAGCTTCAGAGCCTTTCCCGGCACTGTGGTCCCTTTGAAGCCCTCGTCCTTGACGCGTGCGACTTCAGATTTCTCAAATGTGAAGCTCTGCACGGTCAATTCAGATGCCTCCTAGATATACTCAAAAATCTGTCCACGCAGACTACTCGATGTCGGAACCTCCCCTGCGACAACGACCGCCACGAAGAACGCGACGGCGGCTAGCTTGTTACAACCACTTCTGATACTGTTGCTGCTACTCCTCCAAACAGGCCTAGCACTCGGACGCCAAGTGCGTTGTACCCGTATTGAGGCTTGCAAGATCACACGCACACAGTTCCAAAAGCATAGTTGAGCATTGAGCAATGAAGACGGGAAGAAACACGAAGACACCTTCACACAGGGTCATCAACGAACTCGTCAACGAGCGATGCACTAGTGTGTTGCAGGTTGCCTCGGTGCACTGTTGCCCCATGGACTTCGGGCCTGAGCTTCAAGCCTGGCCTGCAGGAGTCGGGGTTTCGGGATTCAGCTTTGTGATCCAGGTGGGGTCATCTACTCCCACATCTTGCAAGTGACCCTGACTTGTGAAATTGTCATCAACCCGTGCACGCGGCAGCTGTGATTGCAAGATAACATAAAGAACAATTTCAAGTTCAGCCCCACATGACATGAGCAGCACTGTTCGAACGACAGTGCCGTCATACCTGGCCAGGGGGCAGTTGGCACGTCTTTGAGACTCGCCTCGAAAGCCTTGCGGATGATTCCATGGATGGCCTGCCACTGACTTCAATCTTCGGTGGATCTGTAGAATTAGAAGCTCACAGGCAGGCCACGTAAGAATCTGGTCCTCCAAGCTTTCCAAATCCGTACCCGTACCCGACCCAGCGGTTTAGCTCTTTGGCTTGTGGAGTGCTTTCTTTTCTTGGGCTTCGAGTTTTTAAGACTTGGTAAAATGCTTCCTGTTTTGTCGTTTCGAGATGTTGCGAGTTTCGACTGGCGCAACCCCGGCAATCGACGAGGGATTACTTCCCAGTCACAGTTGTGAACTATCGGATTCCCACTAGACGGCAGGAATGCCCCGATAGTCGAGTTTGGGCACATGAGAAGCCATGACCCCAAACGCACGGTTCGTCCTAAGCCTTACAGTATTACGTGCAACCAGGCCTTAATCCTGGATTGCAACAACACTGCACGGAGTGAGTGGGCCGTCTTTGAAATCGTCTCAGTACTATCGCGAGCTGCAGCGGAAGATGATTGCAAGTCCCGAAGGTCAACTCCTGCAGCATTAACACTAAACCCTAAACCCCTAAACTCTAAACCCCAAGTCTTGCCCTCCTCCTCGGCCGGCGGCTGCTCACGAGAGACCTTAGACACGTCACTGCTCGAGTCTTTATGAAGCTTGCACTTTGGGTCCAAGTACCTCAGGGCTTCGTCCCTGATGCCCCTGATAGGCCCGGAGGAAGGCATCAATGAACGAGCTTTTTCGGCTGCGTAAGCTTCACGGCTCACAGGCTGTTTCATAGCTGACGGTGCCCGGATCTACCTTTTTGCCTCTGGCCTGGCATGACGTTGACACAAACCATGCAAAGATATGCAACAGCCGAACAAGTCTTGGGGGCCGGCGTCGCAACCGAGGCAAACTTGCCCACAGGGTTCGGAGCACAGACGTCCACATAAATGGCCACCTGAGGCGTGGGATCTGAGGACTTTGAAAGAGGGATCCCTTGCACGCAGGGTGGACAACGCCGCATTTTTATGTTGCGGCAGCTCCATTCAGATTGAGGCAACAGCAACTATGCACATCTGCTGCTGACTACTTGGCTGCCGACAAGACAGCTTTCGACTGCAACGCTCCATGCAAATAGGAAGATCATGGGCACCACTGCAGTCACCTGGAAAGGTACACGTGTGTCCCGAGCCCGGCGAACGCTTCAACACAGCTTCGGCATTGCCTGGGGCCGAGTGGCTACATTTTTTCTGGCACAGATGGCCGCAAGGAAGCTCTCGTTCGCATTTCGCTTCACACTTGCACTCCTTCGAGAACATATTCATTTTGTCTCAATGGCAAGGATACCAAGCGCTTGACTGGAGGCTGTGATGACTTGTGCAGCATGCAATCAAGGCATTTTCCTGTATACATGCACACTATAATACTTCACGAAACCTAGAAGCACTAGATCCGTCGCGGAGAAGCAGCCCTACGTTTAGGCTCTCACAACTCGGACATGCCAGGCGAGCTTCATAGGTTTACGCTCTCACAACTCGGACAAGCCAGGCGAGGTTCATGGTGCGTAGTCGGCGTGACACAGGAAATTACAGTCCACAACAAGGAACTTCAAGCCAGGAAATAACCCAATCTAAGAAAGGTTTAGGGTTTAGGCCTTCTTCGACAGCCACGAACTGCAATTAATAGGCTCGGTCCGCTTCCCTTGCAGGCGGCGAACGCAGCAACCAACCCTTCATTCATACCTTGTATGTGCTTCTGTTCTGGCATCTGCAGCAGGAACAACAGCAGCATGACCCCAAGCAATCTATCGACAGTCCTCTCCGCACCTGCGCGAGCAGGCGTGGCCGCAGGCCAGACGTGCCCCACATCGCCGCTGGCACGTAGTCGCACAGGGCTCACCACATTTGTTGGGACAGTAGTGCCCGCAGGACAGCTTCCGGCTGCATCGGTCTGTGCAACCGGAAGCCACTTGTTCTGGAGTGGAATTGCAAGCGAGTTGCATCTTGGAGTGCTTCTGAGGAAAGTTTGGACAGTCAAAGTATTTCTTCTCTACACACTCCGCCTCCTGTATGCAAGGCTCGAAGCACTTCTTGGGGCAAAAGTGGCCACAGCCAAGCTTCGATTCACAACGCTTCTCACAAGAACGCAACACGTCCTCCTTCTCCTGGCCACATTTGCGTGTGAGCTTGTGCGAAGCAAATCGTCGACAACAAAGTGGCTCTTTGTAAGGGCAGAACTTGTGCTTCGTGCGTTCGCGACAAGGCAGTTGAAACTCGTGATTTGGCGACTCCGAGCAGTTGAATACCAGTGCGCAAATGTGGTCGCACTTCGAGGCACTGTGACTGTCCCCGTCCTCTTCTGGATGGCATGGACGCTTGCAAGTGTGCGTTTGAATACCACAGGCAAATTGCGCCCCACAAAGCACTCCACAAACTGCCGATTGCGTTGTGCACACATCTTCTGCCTCCAAAGCATCATTCTGCACATGCCTGTGGCGAGGACATCCTTGTGGAAACTTGCTTCCCACGCACCCTCGCTCTTGTAGCTTGTCAAGGAATTCGCACCAATGGGGTGAAGTCCGAAGGCAAACTTCATTTCCAATGAAGTACATGCCGCACCGGGCACGCGATTGTGCGACGCACATGCGGTTCTTGCCATCATCGGTGCCAAGGAAACCCAATCTATTCTGTTGGTTGGATCTGACCAGAGACACAATAACGATGTCGTTCTCAGCTCCTTGGTACCTGCGATCGACAGGCAGGTCCCGGCATGACATGTTCAAGCTTTTTGGCGATGCTGGACCTGTCAATCGAACTGACCTCTGGCATCTGGTCCGGCTGCACCGCATCTGGCACCAATCGCACCTCTGCAGGGAAGCGTGAAGCGGCAAGCACGTGCAAATTCCCTCCATCGGTGATTTCATAAGGGAGGCTCCTCAACGAAATCGTCCTTTGCAGATGCGTGGTGGGTGCCCGTGAGGGTCGCGCGGTAGCATCCTCCGGGGGGGATGTGGCACAAGTGAACTTGCAGAATATTGCCAAGAACTACAGACTTCGCGGCATGATGGTCGTTCAAAGCTACTTTTCCTTCCACATCTCAGAGTCAGAGCATTGAAACAACTTGCTGACTTCGCCCTGCAATGGCGGTGTCGCGATTTCCCTTGCCCTTTGCGTCCTGGTTGTGCCGACTGTCCGTCCACAGGGTAAACTCTCTCTTGGCGGACCGTGGCAGAAGTTATATCCACGCGATTCCCACGCTTGAGAAGCACTGGGTCAATGTGAGCTGTAAAGGGGCTCAGGTGCTGCTCTTGACCCATTTCTGCCAAGAACTTGGGAATTTCCTCTCGCAAGGTGTTTTTGATCAGAGCCACCTGCGCCATGTCTGATTGTGTTCCGGTCGAGGCATGGGACGTGCCACCACTCTCTCCCCAACTGGGCTGCTGCCTGCCTCCCTGCCTCCTTCCAAAATCCAACACAACCACATACTGACATCATCCCTTAGTCCTCAACTGTAAGCTCAACACATCTCAACCACTTTTGCACTACCTGACGCGACGCTGGCTCCAAGCTTTTCCTTGTACGGACACAGTTTTGATTATCCCTTCACTGCTCTGAGCGGCCTGACCCTGGTATGGAGCCAGCACCGTGATCTGCTTCGGTTTGTAGCCCTGGGAAATGAAGAAGCGAGCCAGTTGTACAGCCCGGTCACACCTGCCGGGGCTTTGATTTCATGCCATGCGACAAAGACGGTATGACGTTATACTTCGCAGATCAAGGGTCTCAATGTTTCAGAAAACGCAAAGGCTTCTGGCTTCCATGCCGTTCACTGTCACAGTGCAGGCAGGCGTCTCGCGTTTGTTGACGTGACTGCGCTCACCCTCTTCTTCTGGATGTGGGCAATGCCAGAAAAAGACTTCTGAAGCCACGCAGGCTGGAGCAACAAGCTTGCTAGTGACCATCGTATTGTCCTTCAGATGAGGGTAGATCGACTTCAAGAGCTTGGAGAGTCCAGGGAGCATGCGCCCTTGCGCTTGAAGCTCAACGTTGGGCAGCCCGTTTTCAAGAAGGCGCTCCATCATGCTCACGTCGAATAAGTTGTTCCTTGGCAGAATGTGTGCGAAGGAGTATCTTGTGCCACATCAGCAAGCAGCCAGTTGCATGTTGCCTGAAAGCAAGAAGCACGGAACCGCGCGAGCCTTCGAAGCGGACACGACACCAGCATTGCCGAGTATCAGCCTAAGAGCGTATGTCTCCACGGGTGGCGGTAGCTGTCCTCGAGTGTCAAAGCAGCTGAGCTGGAGATGGGAGAGACTCGGAACGACGAACGCAGGGACTCTCACCTACCATCCGAAAGTGGCCGCAATGCGACCTCTCACTAAGCTGAGTCTCTGTGGTCTCCGATCATGATCAAATGCTTGACCCAGGGGCCAAGCACCGCGAGAATTTGAGGCTCCAAGACCTTCAAAGGAGTTCAGAAGCACTTCTCAGACTGACCGAATCAGCCACGGTAAGAAGTGGATGAAGTTTCTGAGGACTTGGCTTCTGCAGCCTCCTCCACGAGGACCACATCGGGTTTGAGCTGTGAAATGAGGGCGGAGTTGATGGAGGCACCGGTGATCGTCATACCCACGATTCCTTCGACATCTTTCGGCATAGTGAGCTTCGTATGTTGTCCGGCTAAGCTGCCAGCTAGCCTGACAGAAACTGCCCCAAGGCCATGTTGCAGGCAAGACTCTCTTGTCCTTCAACACCCGGGCACCTCAGCGGCACAATCAGCAAATGTGGAAGACTGCGACACCATCCAGGGCAAATACACACGACAAGCGCAAAGGTTAATTACCCAGTTACCTGAGTTGGCGTAGTCCAAAGAGCCTATAGCCTGTAGAGCCATCTGCACAAGTAAGGCTCTCGCTCATGGCAACATCAGTTGACTCCTCTTCCTCGCATGCTTGCGTTAGGGTCGTCAAGGCGACTTCGAGATCTTGACGGCGGCTGGCTGCTTGCTGAGCGATGTGCTGCGCCACCAAGCGTGCTCGATTCAACTTCGAAAGCTGAAAAAGGTTTGGCGCATCCCAGATCGCACGATCTCCGGAGTTGGTTCCCGTCTGCGCAGCTCCTTCCTTAGGGAGATGCTCCATGCGGATATTGCGCTGCCATTGCTGGAAGGACGGCAGTCGGGACACCATGGCCCGCCACTCGTCCTTGCTGAGACCTTCTCCCCCATCGCTTGGCCCATTGCCGCGCTCTGCTTCGATCTCTGCCTGAAGTTCTCGCTCAGCCTCATCATCGGCCTCGAAGCAAAGGTTCACTGGCAGATGCTCTGGTGTTTGCACCGGCAGCATTCCTCCAGTCGCTGGATCCATCATTTCGCGCAAAACCCAGCCCTTTTCCAGTCTAGTATCCATCCGCAAGGAGATAGGATGCTGCAACTGATTGTTGCTGCTCAAAGCGCGGACAACTGTTTCCCACTCCTCGGCAGTTTGCACCTGAACAGTTTCGTAGCCATGTGCGCCCATCACCTGGTCTGAGTCCTCGGGCAGCGTCAACCCGGCTTCGCTGAAGAGCATGCTCGCAGCTTCTGCGACCATGTCTTGATCAGGATACCATTCCTTGTCTGAGGAGCACTTCAGCATCTTTAGCAGTAGTGGCAAAAAGACTGAGCTCACCGGAAGGCCTACAGTACGCCCATGCTCTATGGCCTCTAGCCCGGTTCCCTAAAAGACGCTGTAAAGGACTATAGAGGCAGGTGCCAAGCAAATCAAGGAGCTGCCAACACTTCCTCGAGTTCAGACCGCATCCAGTGACAGTCCTGCTGCAAGCGGGAAGTCTCCAGAGGGTCTTCTTGCCAGTCCAGAGCATCCAGCTGGACTTCAGAGTGTAGCATTCGCGGAAGGTCCTCAGAATGAAGAGCTGTGAATCCAACGTGCCAGGGTGCAGGCTGAGAGTTGGCGAGCTCTGCGAGCTGCTGGGCTGACTGAAAGCTGAGAGTCATCCGGCCAATTTCTGAGGAAGTTTCAATATCTGTCCAATCTCCACCGAAGCCACTCGACATTCCTGCCCCTTCTTGGGGAATCTCGGCAAAATTGAACGAGCTGATGACCGCGAATGCTGCTGAGGAACGTATCAACCTCGGGTATCGACCATACAGTATTCCTTTCCATGCATTAACTTGCTTGCGGCGTCCTAGGATCACCTCGAACTTCCTCGGCCTAAACCCGACCCTCACCATCCAAGACACGGAATGAACTCCTCGGTTCCGAAACTTCTCCATGGCCTGCAGCTCAGGCTTGATCAGGTCTGGACCTCCTACAGCCATGTTGAACCGAGCGTCGCTCAGCAACTCGCTCTGCCGGCCCTTCACATCAACCTGGTGGGCGGGAAGTGTCTGCTGAACCGCTGGCCCCAGGAGAGGTCATGCATTCTTGCAGCTTACGCAGCTCGACATGGGCGAGCAACAGTTTAGGAAATCCTTACGCATCGCGGGTGCTGATTCAATTCACTACGAAACTGGCCGGCCTTTGATTGAAAGATGTGGGTCCGTAGTTCCTTCATGGCAGGGTCCTGCCACGCCTGGAGCAGTGTTCAGTGCCGGCGACTTGCGAGACTCACACTCAAGGGGAGGAGCTGCTACTGAGCTACTGTTACCTCTCAGAAGCAGTCCTTGTCAAGAGGCTTTGCGAGCTTCTTTTTGAGGCTTCTCAAATTGCATGCCTGCAACTCCGCAGAGTCCGCACTGTTCCGGCCAACCCTGGCCATCGTTTGGGTGTACTGCCCCTCCACACAATGTTGCAAGAAGTCGTCCAGTGCATGATTCTTGTACGTCAGCACGAGGACTCGAGACTTCTTCACCAGCATCTGTAACAGCTTGTAACCAATGAAAGTCTTTCCTGTACCTGTAGAGCGTCTTGCCGAACATGCTAGTTTTGACACATGTCGAAGCAGACCCTTCCACTTCTGCTGTGGACTATATGATATATCTGCCTCCGGCTGCCAAACTCAGAGAGCCCTCTAAGCGCCTGGTGGGCCTTGGATGAGGGACACGCGGCAGTGCAGGGCGTGCTGCGCCGCCTGCAGCTGGCCTCTGCAACAGCGTGGACCCAACACCCCCAGCGAAGTACTAGCTGCTCCACACCGTAGATCCTTTCTACTTTTTAACTGCAACAGAGGCATTGCTGAAAGGCCATGCGGCTTCTGTCCCAAGTAGTCGCAGACTTGTTCATCGAGGACGGCTCGCACGCACGTCCAATGGCGGTTTCCAGCTCCATGCAAAGTTGGTGAACGGTTCCGCCTTCCATCACAACCCACATCACAGCAGTTCCTTGCAACGTTACTCGAATGGCACCTTGGGAATGGCTTTCCCTGCCATTTCCACGCTTACAGCATTCTGTTGGAAGGGTGTGTTCTTTATTTCTCAGCGGCTCCGATCAGCCACAGACTGCGAAATGGTTTCCGCAAAACTTCACACTGCCACTGCCAGCGGGAGAAACTGAGTGGCACACGGCATGGAAGGATTCGATATCGAAGCTCCTTTGATGGCTCGGTCTGGATGACCTGGTGGCGGGGTTCCTTTCGACCCAAGCAGACACGACATGAGTCGTTCGTGAACACGTGGAGATCATACTGCGATATACCGCATGTATGTCAATGTATGTCTTTTGCTTCCGGATCGGATCGCTTCGGTATTTGGGTGTGGGCCGATTGCGGACGGCGGTCACCAGACATGTCATTGAATCAGAATTGATATCCTCTAAGACTTGAGCCATGCCTACAACTTCGACCCCAACTTTCTAGCTATTTCCTTGTAGGCTTCCAGCTAAGAGCTCATCCGGCTATCATTCCCGAAGAGCTCGACATCTCTGTCAGGACCCGCGAGCAGCAGTTTTCAAGACCAGGTTGAGAGAGCCGGCGGGCCCAAAAAAGGTTGCGAGTTGAACAAGCTTCTGCAAGGCGCTCGGGCTTCATTCAGGATGAGAAGCAGGGGTCCGGGTATAAGTGCTTTCATGAAAGCAAACCAAAAAATCGGAGCAGGCAGAATCCAGGATAGTCGGCCTCGACTTCTTGAATGGATGTCAGAACTGTAAACTAAGTTCGGCCCCGTAAGCCGCAGACCACATCGCAGCAAACTGGCACGTGTGCTTCAGCCCCGCTCTGGATCACGTTGGCAACTGCGGAAGCTTCATCCCCGGCTTCATCTCCTGGCAGTGCTCCCAGCAAGTGCAATCAAGGCTTAGAGGCTTGGAGGACTCTGGCTCTGACGCTTCTTTCGTCCGGTCTAGCCAAGAAACCGCTTCCGGTGGCCAAGTCAGGCTGCTCACCGGAAACAACCAGAATCTGGTGGCCAGCGAGGTTGCGAATGCGAAACTTCTTGAACAAATCGTTCCAGCTGATATCGAAGAGAGACCGGCCAGAAGGGCAACAAATGGTGATCTGTTTGCCCAGCGTCCATGCACGCATCTCGGTCGGAGCACTGATGCCCACAAGCTGGTAGGAGACATCCGAGTGTAGCTCCGGGCCCGAAAACACCAGGCTCCTGTCGACGGCGTCTGCAGCACATAAGCTCAATGGCCGTTTTTCTGCAGTCTTGCAATGCACCAACTCCTCCTGGAAAGGCAAGCCCACCTCCTCCGTGGCCTGCAGTCGGCGGAGGATCGGCTCAAACGACCGGAAGTACGTTGGAGACGCTACCAAGGTCAGCTTTGTTGCGCTCCATATGTATGCCACCTGGCCGGCTTCCATGGACGCTTGTGACGAGCTTCTGGCATCCGCATAAAAGTCGAGTGCCACTATACCACTCGATCTGTTCAGCTCGCGGCGAGCGGCCAGCATCCAGATTGGATGATCGAAATCTTCATTGCAAACACATGCAATCAGATTACCGCTCATGAAGCACTTGGCAGCTCGAAGCTCCCATCGTGCTCGTGTAAGCATGGGCTCAATTTTGAGGACTACCTTGATTCGGCTGTCGACCACACCTCCGGGCAAAGCCAGGGGGCTTTTTGACAGTTGTATCCAACTCCGTGATTTCAGCACGACATGTCTGAGCCTTACTGGGGATCCTACAGGCATTCAATTTGCTGCTTGCTGCAGGATGCTAAGGGCTCACCAACTACCGAAGTCAAACAAAAACACCTAACATTGAACATTGGCAAAGAGACCGCAAGTGTTGGAAGCTACAAACAGTACAAACAGTTAACACTTCGCAGACTGAAGCAATGCTGCAGCATGGGATGGCGTCGGTACTGTACCAGTATCCAAGAGGACCAGCCACTGAAAATCTCGGTCCAGTCGTGCTGTTAGCTCGTCATGCGAACTCCTTTGCGTGTGCCTTGCTGCTGTTTGAGTGTGTCACTTTGGCCACGCGTGCCTTCCTGGCCGTGCCCCACGGTAAAGCCCTCGAGGGTAGCCCGGAAAGCATTGCTGTCCTTGTTAACCGCGTCCGCCTCCTTCCCGTGGTCGCGCACATCTGCAAGCGAGTTGCGGATGGCCGCCGTGCAATCCTGCAATCAGATGTGCTGTAAACCAATAAACTAATACTAGCCACATACTAATGCTGCACCCTCACTCTCGGATGAATCCGGGCGACGTGCTGTTAACTAGGTCGGTAGGTGCATAGTCACAGAAAGCATCGTAAGAGACAACAGCTCAGATGCAAGTGCGATAGCTCAGCAGAGTAGTCGACTTTACTCTTACTGCAGTACTGCCAAGATTTCAGCAGCAAAAAGCGCACACGTGTGACAACCATCACCATCGTCACCGCAAGCAGAACAACGCTCCGACTCTAGGCTTGCGCCCCCCACCTCGCGAAGAAGGCGGAAGTATGTGTCCAAGTAAGCGCCAAGGGACTTGTAGCCACCGACTTGCCTCACGACAGGCAGCATTCGCGATGTTGTGTACCTCCTGCGGCCGTCGGGCAGAATGTTCGTTTTCTGTGTCCGCAACTCCTTCGAAGAGGGGACCAGAGGCATGCAGTCCCAGGATGCATCAGTCACATCAGCCTGTCCCGAAGCAAGCACATTGGAAGCCGAGGATACAAGATTCAAGAGCTGCTCTGTACCCAAGACATTCGTAGAATCGAGTGCTCCTGCTGATGTTCGGCACAAGTATCTGCATGCAGGTACTGCTCTTTGAAAGCTGTAAGGCTGCACCTTCATCAAATGCTGCAAAAACGGCCAGATGCTTTGAGATGTTTGCAGTGGTCGTTCTGGCGAACGCATCGCAGATATCAGGGCGCAACGCTCACCAAGCAAGCGCGAAGCTGCGAGAATCTGAAAAATTCTCGGGGCTTGTGGAGACTGCCAGAGGTGGTTGGCCAATTCCAGCAAGAGCTCGACGATGTGTCCCAGCGTCCATTCGCCATCCTGGGCAATGGCTCCACGAACTTCAACGCTCTTCCCATCATTCCGGCTGCTGTTTGCCAGGACCAACTTCGATGTCCAGGGGCACATGGGAATCACACGCACCTTCTCCACACGGCGAAATTGAAATCCTTCCAAGGTGTTGAAGAGTTCCCGATCCACGACATGCAGCTTGGATCCAAACTTGACAACATCGACGACGGAGCCCGAGAAGCAATCACGGACATCGGCAGTGTCCTGCCTCAAGCCCGCAGCACTCGGCGCAGCGTGGCTGATGCGCCGGCGTTTAGCTTCAGGCTGTGGAGCCGCTCCGATACAGGTCAGGTCGCTAACGGGCACTTGGCTCTGGATCTCTGCGAACTCCAGGAGCGCCCAGTCCCTAACCCCTTCCCTTTCAATGCTGATGTCCCGCAACGTCGCACGTGCCTCGCGTGCCTCTGGATGTACGGCTGGTTGGCTTGTCGATGAAGTCCGCGCTTGACAGAGGTCCTGGATGAACTTGGCTGTGCCCCTGCAAAGTGGATGCACATTCACGGAAACGCATATTTTGGAGCCTTTCTCATCCTGTTCTCGCTGGAACTCCTTCAAGACCCACAATCGCCGATTGTTCAGTGATCGTATCTTGCCACGGAGTTGACACACGTCAAGCTGAAGTCTGGAGTCGACTGCCGGGTTCACTCTACCCCGCCTTAGATCACCCAAAAGCTTTGCCAAGCTCAATCCATTTTTGAACTGTTGGCTAACCCTGGCATGAGTAAAGGAGACCGCCTTCACGGGCCGTTGCTCAATGCAGGGAGGCGGTCTTGCGCGCAAGTCAATGTGTTCGTGCATGACTTGCTCCGCATAGACGCGTTCGGCGCAAAATGCTCGCTTGTGCTTCGGCAGCTCGGTGGAGGTTTCCATGTCATGAGGCTCTTGCGCGATCTGTCTCTCAGGGGTGCCAGCACCGGAGGGGAGATCAATCCCGTTCCCAGGGACATCTGCTAGAGCTGACCACTGCGGATCCATGGCGCTTCCCACGAGGTCCTGAGATGTATGATTTGGTCGCATGACTTCCGCTTGCTAGCCGTGGCATGTATGGCAACAGCCACTGTGCAACAGCAGAAAGTAGTGATGCCAATGGCCTTCCTATCGAAATCCGAACCCCAAAGAACCTCGATGCGCCAAGCTGAGAGCAGAATCTAAGGCTCCGAGACAGCGCGCCAGGCGGCCAAGCAGGATTCGGCCTGGCCAAGGTGGGCCGTGGCGAGGAGCAACGTGAAGCAGCAGTGCGTGACACAGGACTGAGAATCCCTTACAGAGACAAAAAACCAGTCTACAAACCCAGCTCTAAGACCCTTACCGTACAAAGGCCGCAGAGGGACTCCCGGTTTCGACTCTCACACTCGCACGCAGCAGGCAAGGCTCATGGTTCGATCTCCTCAAGTGTGCCCAGTACGTTCAGGTCATGCCACACATCCCAGCA